AGGAAAAGGGTAAACAGGTGAGACAGGTAGTACTCGTAATTGGCTCATTGGCGACTTAGTATTTGTGGAGCCATCTATATGTAAAGACAATTACTAAATTAAACACACAGTGGGCATGGCATGTATTCACATGCCATCGCTGTTGGCAAGTGGTTAATTACAGAAGTATGCTTTCCTCACTTTCTTTAACATGTAAAAATATAATTCAAGAGGATTTTTTTCTTTCTTCCTTTATTTTAAGTTGTAGAGAGCTGCATGTTGCTCACATACAAGCAATATGTAGTATAACTATATATAATTTTGATAAAACATCAAGTATCCTGGATCAAATAAACATCACTTTCTCTTGGGTAAATTTATTCCTCTAATATGAAATTTCTTCTTTACAAATACAAACTTCCATCTACAGTTCCTAAATTTAGTCACTGCACTCCCTCTGCTGTTCATCATTTGAGATGAATGATCACTTAAGTCCAATATGTTACAGTTCAAAACCTATTTTATTATTGTATGGCAATTGTTAGCAAATACTGAGAAAATATCTTTAGAACATAGCTGAGACATGTACAGTGTATCCCTTACTTTATTCTTGTTAACCTTACATTTGTACATATACGAATAGCTGTAAAATTATGTTGTTGGCTGTACCATATCATAAACCTGCATTTCAGATCTATGAAGGCACAGGACAACTCTTCTTTTCATTTTTATCTTAACACATAAATATAATCAATAAAATATTAATAAAAATGTGCTGAAACACTGAGAATGTGCTGGAGGTAATGAGAGGGAAAAGATATTTATGCACCTGGATCTTCACTTCAAATTATTCTAAGATAACTTGAAACAAACATTTACATCTATACTCTAATTTACAACTAAATTGTTATATGTGTACATCTGAATTTGAAATTTTATTAGATACTTATGTTATTCTTTCCATTCTAAAATAAACAGAATGATGCAATCACATTCTTCCATTTGTGTTGGGAATATAAAAAATAATTAATATAAAATCATAAAGCAAAGAATTTAAATATATTGTGTGCAATGGATGATCCATTTTCTGAATGCACATCAAACAGCAATTCAATGACTTACATTGATTTTAGACATTAGTTCTGACAAAATTAGCATGATTTAATTTTCTCTCCACTGAATATCCTGTCATTTTCTTGATACATTTACCATAGTTGAGGATAAGAAGTATAAGTATAAACAAGATATATAATCTGATAAATTCGTATTTTGATAATGAAATTTGATGTATATCTCTTCAAGAACATCATTTGATATGTTTTACAGAAGGAAAGGAATGATAGCCTTCCTACGAGGATAATTTTTGAATTCCTTCTTGTAGTTGCGATGTTTTCCCATTGCCCACACTGCCATCTGGTAGAAGCCACAGAGTGCAAACATTCCAGCTGCAAAAGGAAGGAACTTATTAGCATTCAATAACACCAAGAAAGGACTATATGTTACAAGAATATGAACTTGAAAGGATTATCTGTTATTTGAAATCAATTAGAAATGAATATATAGTACTTTAATATAAACCTGAAGGGAATGTGATAATTAAACAACAACAAGAAATGAACATGTAACTAGCAAAGAACATGTGTTGAGTTTATACTAACTAAAAAGGAACATGTGTTTGGTACTACATTACTTTTTATAACCACCTAATCACTGAGCTCATCATTACAAATCAAAGTCAACACATGCTATTCTCTTCACCCTCGGAAGACATTCATTTACCTGGCAGACACTGAGTCATGATTGTGAATGCCAACCATGTCCCAAATTCATAGGTGTAATTGGGGCAGGAGACGGCATTGAAGAGCAGCGTGAGAGGGTTGCTGTCGGGGTAGGGAATTTTCCTCTCCTTAGTGCCTGGTGGTCGAAGGTTCCTCAGGGCCACGTGGATGCTGAAGTTGCCCAACTCACACATCTTAAAAAAAACAGTTCAAGAAATTTGAGGAACAAATATCTGATAAAGATACAGGTCATGCCTCTGATTAGTTATTTCTTTGCAATCAATGGGAAAACTTCCCTGCTTACTAAGCTCATTATGGGATTGAAAAATACTTGACCACCAGAAATTATTAGAAAAAAACTATTTAGCAAAATGAAATCAAATCAATTATTTTGCTCTATCGTTTTTGTGATGTAGGTGGTGTCAAGATACTAACTCTACAATGATTCAAGGTAGAACACTTTATTTACTCACTATTACAAGCTGCTGTTAAATACCCTAGCATACCCATTTGAACTCATACTTACAACAAAAGCAGCCAGGGAGGAGTACACCTGCAAGTCACTTGGGGCTGTGAAGAGGGGATGGTTGACATGGTAGGCCACATAAGCTGTGAATCCCCAGTAGTATCCACAGTTCTTGAAGAGGTTGAAAACTGGCATGGTGCCATGGGAGAACCGATGAATAAACAAGGTCTCAAAGATTCGTTTTGCGTAGTGGAAGGACCAGCACCCTGCAGCGATGCTAAAATAAAATACTGGAAATTAGAAGTCTCAAAACTCTTCAATGCTATTTTCTACTTCTGAAATTTATTCATACTTCTCTAAACTAAATTCTTATCTAACTATGGCAGGTAAAATAAGTTCTGCTAACTTTCAAGAATCTTCAAATTCATTGAATTCCACATTTTTCCCATTAACCTGTTGAACTCATAATTATGCACTGTCCACTTTGATCTCTTGATCGTTTTTATATTTTGTAATATTTTCACACAGATGGTTTAACAAGTTCTTAGTCAATTACTAGGCTATTTACTCCATTCCTCTAATTTTCAGGCCAGAAGTATTTATTTTGATTACGTTGTCATTATCAATCCACTGGATCTGGGTGCCTTGTGACCTGTATGTGGAACAAAATCCGGGCATAAGGCTTACTTTGCCATTTTCCAAGATCTACATTTGCCATTAACTATGCTGTATCAAGATGACAACAGGCTAATTTTTAAAACTCTATAAATGTCTCTATTCTGTCTATAACTCTGTGCAATAATAATAAAATAACATTGTGTTATATATCATCTTTTTTATAATGTCCAATTTTCCATTTTCTGTAGTAATATACTCTACACCACTGGTAACAGCAAAAAGAGATAGGAACCAGAGTATGGGAATAGCATCCTCCCTGAAGCCAGTGTTCTTCCAGCCATAGTTCACAGATAGTACAGTCTATCTTTGTTTTCCTGTGGAAGTAATGCAAGAGCCACTTCCTAAATGCCCACTGAGACTAAACTTCCTCTGAGAGCTCTATGCACTCATGACAAGTCATTCCCCAAGCCATCAGTCAAAACTTGACTGTACAGTACCATCATTCAAGCACTTAGCTAATATTCCCATCACACAGTTTTTCATGACAGAATGGTCAAGGCACCTGGAATTTCTGGGTTAATATCACTATAATGATATTAACATAATGATATTAGCATTATCACTGTAATGATATCAACAATATTATTAATACAGTGTTGTTTGCAATAATATCTGTAATTACAAAATCTTTATCTGAAAATTCATGAAAAAGCTAAACTTGAACAGGTGAGATCAGAAACACATAGCTTATGTTTCTTTAATTCTTTTTACAAGAACATGTGAACCCATCACTGGTAAAAGCAAAATATAAAACCTAAAACGAACATGAACTAGTTGCATATATCCGTCGCCTGTCGCTCACCACTAGATCATAATATCATTTATCATTGATTATTATATTAGCCCTTATTGTTATTCATCGATACATGTTCATGTTTGAGATACTGATAAATGAAGAGAGTTACAATCACTAATGGACTGTCAAATGATAATCAGCACACAGATTTCGCGCCAATATAATTTCTAACATAATCCATTGAACAATATTCTATTCCTTATACAGTTACTAATCAAGAACAATTCATCATTAGCAAAGTTAGCCTTCCTTTAGCATTATCTTTTACACACAATGCTATGCAATATTACCGGCTTCTGAGACACGGAATATTACATGCAGGGCTAGAAAAAAAGTACGAGGTTTTATTGTCACCTACCTTGTGTACTGTACTCCTTACACATTGCAAGATAAATGAGATTGCTTTTGTGGAACGAAGCGCATATGTAAAGTTTCTCTTTTATGAAAAGAATAGTCAAACAAATTTACATGAAACACTGTAGTGTTCACCGAGCTTCGTTCACTCACGCAGTGGCTCAATACCCAGCATACATTAGGCTATTTATCAAAGTGTCACAGTAGATAGCAATGGATCCATAACTTCGTAGCGCGCCAAAGCGCCAGGAATGTTCAAATTGATAGGTGGAGTAAAGGAATTCCAATTCACCTGTGCACCTTATCTTGCTGGCATATAGATAGGTAAGATAGGTAGAATAGATTAGATATATAGACTGTAGATAAGAAACCTACCAGAAAGAAAAAAAAAATCAGATAAAGACACACTAGTATAATAGAAATAGATGGATATACGATAGGTTCGACATAGATAGATAGATAAGAGAGATAAAATAAATAGATAGATACGATAGATAGGCTAGGTAGATAGATGGAATGATTTTACAGAAAGATGGATAGACATGAGGAGCTTGAGTTTTAGTATAGAATTAGAGTATAATGTGACAATATGAGATAGGTAGAGAGAAATATAGGATCATAACGTAGGTGTCAGGAACAGGACAGAGTAAGTAAAGAACGTATGAAGAGAGATGAGAAACAGACAGGAACAATACAGGATGAGATGTATAGAGTATATATAAGTAGACATGGACAGAACAGGTAGAGTGATTCAGGAGTAAGTGATGTAGATAGAGCGCCAGCACGAGATTATAATGTTACCAGATACTCTTAGTATACGATTACATTCTGCTACGGACTCGGACTCACGCTTACTTATACTAGTCCTCTATATACGCCTTTGTTTTGTTTTGTCTTTTTTCTATTGTTTTTTTATTACATTTTTTCATTCATTCTAAGAATTTAAGTGAGCCTGACAAAAGTTAGGTGGACAAAGCCTTTTAGAGATTGCAATAATGGAAAAAAGATACTTTAGGAAGTTTTGGTACCAACAATGGTTTGTGGATTGTGGAGTAATGCTAGTGATTTTATCACCCTAATTAAATATCTTAACAATAGTAATAAATAAATTATTAACTATAAATGGGAGAGCATAGACTATGAAGATACTGGTAACATATGAATACATATATAATAATAAATTAGCAATGAATAAATAATATAATAATCACAGAACATTAATATAATATATAGATTATATGAATAATTAATGAATTAATAATAAATAATTAAATATAATATATTAAACAATAACAACACGTAGCAATAACAATATAATAAAAATAATAAAAACAATAAATTTAAATATAACAATAATAATAAAAAGCATTAAAAACTCTATCAACCAATAGAAAATAAAACGATTTTTTCTTTTTATCTTTGGAGATTCCAAAAAAATGTAACTGAAAAATAAAATGTAGCAAAATCCAGAAAAAGGATGATAAATACGCACGTTTTTTTTCTGTGTCAATTGACAAAAAAAGACGAGAAACAAGAAGGAAAGAAAAACTCATTACTGAGTGTGCACCAAATGGACACTGGGACTTATGCCAAACTGCAGGTTGATCACCCATATGAAGAGATTCCAAGGTCGCTGGTATACAGCCAAAAACATAGAGTAGAAAACAGAGTGAGAGAATTAGATTAACATACAAACAGAGTTAGATAGATGGACAGAATAAACAGAAAAACGGTCAACAAATAATACATACACACATGCATATTTGCGTAAACTCATACACACACAAACACACACATAGATAGATAGATACATATATAACACACACACACACACACACACACACACACACACCACACACACACACACACACACACACATATATATATATATATATATATATATATATATATATATATATATATATATATATATATATATTATATATATATATATATATATATATATATATATATATATATATATATATATATATATAATATAAATACATGTATACATATAATGCATGTATACATATAATGCATGTATATATATAATACATGTATATATAATATATATATATATATATATATATATATATATATATATATATATATATATATATATATATATATATATATATATATATATTATATATATATATATATATATATATATATATATATATATATATATAATACATGTATGTTTGTATCTATGCATTTGTGTATATGTACACACATATTCTACCCTTCCTTCGTTCCTTCGCCATATCTTCCACCAACAGATACAGTCACATACTTTTATCTGATCCCGTTCACTGTTTAAAAAAGAACAAAGATTTAATTTAAGAGCAAATTTGACTTGCATCTATTGTTACACTTTCTTTGTATAGGTATGAACAGTTTGACCTCGTAAAGAAAAACATGTAGTCACACCTATTTCCCTTACAGGTGTATGGCAATAATTTAGCACTGCAAACATAATATTGGTCTATTTTAGGAAGCCTTAGTCAATTTAATTCTAGCTGACTTCTTGTGGAAAAAATGGTCATCAAAATATATAATTCATTACATAACATATTTATAAGAGAATTTTCGTTGTCTTTGTCGTTCTTTTATTACTGCAATAATGGCAACCTCTAACAGCATTCCTGCTACATCTATAGCAACCGCTATCAGACCAACAGCAACATCGCCAGAGGCAACCATTACAAATAGTACGAACACGTTTCATAACTTGGAGTACCAGCTTGTTCTCCTCACGAAGCGTTTCAGAAATTCCCTGGAATCTTTCCCATCTTTTTGAGTGTCGCCATCGCCTCCGCCTTTCCTATTTGTGAAGTTGGATTCCCACTGCCTGCTCAGAGTGGCAGCATTCAGCGCCTTTCACCTCGGCTGAAGGAAGCCCGAAAAGAACCTGGGAAATGTTACATCGCGACTGAGCCATCTCCGCCTTTTACAGGAGTCAGGACTCGAATTCTGTTTGTTGTTTTTATTACTATACTCTTGATCACATTCTTCCTAGCTATGCCAGGCGATTTATTCATTTATATATCAGTCTATATATCCACATCCTTACCAACACAAGTATCTCTCAACCTTACTGCTAATCGAACTTTATTTATTAACATTAATTTATCGATCACTCAATCTGTGCCTGTACACACGCTCATATTTGTGTGTGTGTATGAATGTATTTATGTATGTATGTATTTACCGTAGACTTCTCGGTTCATAAGCGTGCTACTGTCATCCTAGTTATATCTAAATTATTACCGTAGATATTATGGGATGCGAAAAGGAAAATAATAGGACATTAATGATACATGTCTCGGTCTGTTAATCTAATTTCTGTAAAGTATCCATTGTTTTGAGAAGGTGAACTTTTCGACGGAAAAGTGTCAGGTCAATCCCCACCCAATTTTTGGGCCGGAGAATATTAACTACAT